GGGTAAATAGTTCTTATCGGAACTGGGAAGTACTGAGTGTTTTTGTGTGTTTTTTTTTCAATTTATAAAAAATAGAAATGATAATTTACGACTTGCTTTTTAGAAAGCAGTTTAGAGGCAATTTACTGTCAATTCAACATTTAACACAACTGTTAATATCACTGTATATAGGTTAATCTGTTGATTCACGTAAATTAACCATATTTTCAACTACCCTTTATTGGCCAGTTTTTTCTACAGCTTTTTAGAAAAAAACACAAAAAAACATTTTCTATGCTTCACTGATTAACTTTATCCACAGTGATTCATTTTGAAAATGTTTTTATTATGTTATAGACATACACATAATTATTTCTTAAATCTCCAGTAAGTGTTCGCGATTTTTAATTTAGTAACAAATTATCTTTATCTTTCTATTTGCTATCATGCTCCCTAGATACACGCAAAAATCTCAAAAATCATGCCTCCAGTACACACGAAAAGTTCACAAATGCGAATAGTTGCAGAAGTTTATTTTAACAATTTTTTTTAAAAATATTTATTTTAATTTTAATTAAAATCTATTATTTTAATAGATTGATATGATAAGATCATATATTTTTTTTCTTGAATAGATTTTTTCTGTTGCATACATGTAACAATTCAAAATTAGTTTAACACCACGCCATATATATTTTCAATTCAATACCGGCACAGTAAAATAATGTAATGGAAACATTTCCTGATTGATTCACTTATCTTATAAAAAAAAATTTTTGCGGTCTTTTTTTTTTTTTTGTTTTTTTTTTTTTTTTTGTTTATGTTTGTTAAAGGATAACTTTTAATTTTTTAAAGTAAATTGATTTTGAAAAAAAGTGAATGGCATAAAAATAAATTAATTTTTTTTTTTTTTTTTTTTTTTTTTTATAAAAAAAAATTTTTGCGGTTTTTTTTTTTTTTTTGTTTTTTGTTTTTGTGTTGCTGATGTTCGACAAAGGATAACTTGTAAGTTTGTAAAGTAAATTGAGTTTGAAAAAACGTGAGTGGCATAAAACTAAATTAATTATCTTTATTGGCGTTAAATGGAAAATGGATCTGAAAGGATTCGATATTGGGTGGTATCGTAGGCCTAACCTAATGACGGAACACCAACAAAAAAAAACAAGAAATGTGTTTATAGCGCCACTAGTCCGGACTTTTAAGGCTGAAGCTACAAAGTTTTTCTTTTTAGGGTAGGCTAGAAATAAATTCTAGACAGTCGTTCCAATTTTATGATCATGTTAGAAATGTATCACCCATCAAATTATTATGACAACGCCGACTGGCGAAATATAATTCTGTAACACATAAACACTCGATAATGGGTTGTTTTCCGGTAAAAAATAAAAATTTGGTTAAAGATTTAATTTTGTACGACTGAAACCTATTTTCGAGACTGGGGAACTTAATTTTCCACCAGTCGTCGTCATATTATTAACTTGCGGTTGATCATGTTCCACCAATGTAAGTTGCCACCCTTCCTATCTATCTCCCCACAAAGTCTTCCCTTATCGCTTAGCCTAGGCATGCCACAGTTAGGGAGGGCTAGGCATATTGATCTGGGCATCGCTGATAGCTTCATCCCGTCCGTATTTTTTTCTGGTCCGGCCCTTGATGGTTGCGGCAAAATAGGTCCATGTGTCTTGAATCGCTTGCATGCCACACAAAGTTATCATGCACATTGTTTTATATTCATTTGTATTGTGACAGCTCACCACACTAGCTTTGAAATCGTACACAGGCCTGTTTAATCTTACGATCCGTAGGTTTCTTTTTACGATTGTATGCCAAGGCCTTTCACAACTACGATTTTAAGAAAATGGGTTGAAAATATATACATTCCGGTAGTTTTTCCGATTAAAAAATGGTAATTAACAAGTACAAATCTCGGTTGTTAGTTTTAACCCGCTTTCTATATTTGGGGCGCTCAAAACAGCTGTGTACTTTTTAATACCTCCCTCTTCCTTTTACCCATTTACAGTTGAGCAAAAAAATAATAATAAAACTGATTTTTGTATCTATGGTAATTTCAAATAAATGATTTGTATCGCATTTAACAAATCGTGAAGTGAAAGAAATGTATAATAATTGAAAACAATACAATTTAGAGAAATGATCACAGTGAATCTACTAAGCAAACTATACATTACATAATGAATGGAGGACTTCCTGAAGCATTCAATCAATGTAAAACTAACTATAGAATTTCAAAATTTTTTTGATTGTGCAAAATAAAATAGTTAAGTGGATCTGTTATTTTAAAATCTTTAGGCCTATTCTTAGGCAACTTACAAGCCCTTTATTTATATCAGATCATTTCGATCAGCAGCATGATGTCGCATGTACAATATCACGTGTATAAAATAGTGTATGTACACAGCCAATGTATTTAAAAATGGTCCTTTTGAAAAAGGTAATGATATATTTTACTTATGCGAAAAAACATGGGCTTTTCACCTTTTATTTAGAAATCACTTACGGATTTTGTCATGTATTTTATTCTCTTACTCTTACATTTTTATTGTTTTGTACAATGCGCGTTTAAAATTGTAAAGACGATTACACGCTATTTATATATACACTTATCAAACCAAGAAGTATGTAGTTTGTTGGGATATATAATGACCGAGGCGATTTGTAAATGATGCAATTTTATATTGTAATTGTTGTTATTTAAAAAAAATTAAAGTTGGGATTTCACGATCCCTCGCCGTCTGCTAGATCTATATCATATATGCCGTATCACCTAGTTCCGACAACGTCCATCTTGTTATGTAACAATGCCAACTGCACGGTAAAGCCGGATGCAGTGGTTCACACGAGTATCGACCTAAGTTATGTGCTAGTAGCACACACACACACACACAGAGTTCCGGTAATGACCGCCTTTTCCCTCCCTTGAAATAGTTGTGCACAGTTGTAGGTTTCCAGCCATGGCATCAGGGCATATGTATGTGGGCATATGTATGTCTCTGTATTACAAGATGTAAATAATATTTTAAATTAGAGTAAATTATAGCTTTAAATATATATATTTATAAACAGATGGATATTTTATGGCACTGTAAGGGCTCCATGGCGTGAAAATGTAACGGTATCGAAAATAGGTTGTGCCCGAAAAAAATGGAGACAATTGCATTATTGAAAGGTCATTTCTTATATATGAATCTGGTCAATTGGGTTTGTTGTTTGGTTTGTCGTCTCACTCATAGTCATATCTATGAATATTGAAACATAGAATTCTGAACTACTTTTGAGAAAGTACTAATACTATAACTTGTCCTTAGCTAAGTCTAGGCCAACTGTTAGAAGACACCGGAGACTTTTAAGCTAAAACAACATGAGTAACTATTCGAGATTTATTCTTTAAAATGAGAATTTATTTTTGATTAAACGATTAATAGATGTGAAAGGCAATGATCTTATTTTATTTTTAAACAAATCAACACTAGTTTTAATGCATTTTATAGTTTCCGTATTGTTTGTAAGACTGTTATTCTTTTCATTTAAGACAGGCATCATTTTTAGCAGCCGTCTTCAGCATGTCCACTAATCTATTTAACAAAAATACAGTTGTCATTATCATTAAAGAAAAAACAATTAATCACATCCCAAACCTTCACATTTCTGACTTTCGACCCCTTAAAGTTTTAAGGCTGGCGTCGCTCTTTCCGAAACGTAGGAGGTTAAATGTCTGTTAAAAGGCTTGCAGCTTAAAAACTTAGTTTCACAAACGTAAATTAATCGTACGTCTCAATTACAATGTAGGCAAAAAAATAAAACTCAAAAGAATGGGTTTGAGGAGGTTACTGTTTCGCTCGCTCTCACCATCGCTTCTGCCCATGTGCTGCTTTCCCGTGATTTTTGTTTTCACTAGTCCAATTTTAGCATCGGTGACGTTTGTAGGACTGTGGTCGTACGTAGCTAATGTATACTTCCGCGCCGTGTACTGTAATGGACTTCTTTCAGCCTGCCGTTGGGCATGGCGTAGTCAATGGAATAAATAGAGACGTTTATATTTATACGTTTATTAAAATATGCATTTATTATTAAAAGAGCACACAAAAAAAAAACGTAATAATATTTATTCAACGGATCTCGAATATTCGCAATCACGTTGGGTCTTAAGTTTTTAGGGTCCTTAAAAATTGGACTCTTTGCCATCGAACAAGGAGATGACCTAATAACTTACTATGCTTTATGGTGATATATAAATAATTATTTACGTAACTAATATTTCGTTTTTAGTAAGTCACACATCCTTGTCTATTCGCCGCCTCAATTGCCATATGAATAGACTAATTGGTTTTATTTGTTAACATATCTTTTAATAGGTGTTTGTTTCGATCGTTGTTACAACTTAGCAAGTTATTTCATACTGAAAAATGCGCTTTAATTTTTTTTAAATATATAAACTCTATTTATAAAAAAATAAAATTATTTTAAATTTATGATTAAAAACTAATCGTTTTGGAAAAAATGAACGAAATATAAAATTTGTTTTAGACCGTGACGATGACGTAATTTAGCCACGATTCTCACGATAAGTTCTTAAAGACAATAATTTTTTTCATTAACCAACTTTAGCGCAGTAGCCTATATTAGCTACTGATAGACATTATTTTTACTTCACTAAACAATTTTTTATAATAAAACCCTTAGAATTTTGGATAGTCCGATTGGATAGTCCGATTGGATAGTCCGATGCAAAAGGTTTCGGTTGATTTTTAGAACAACCCCTTCCCCCCCCCCCCGCCCAACCCACTTTGAATGTAAAAAAAAAATACACAAATCCTCGCAAATCAATTTTTTTCCCACAATTTATTTTTGGTACAATAAGCATACATCAATATATTAAACATTTCAATGCATTTCCCAAGCTTTTATGGTGACATGTATACATTGATTTTATTTATTGATGCATAAAATATGTATTTATTTATTTCATTTTAGGTGGAGGTGGGGGAGGAGGGTCTGCCAGAAGACAAGGCTTTTGCAAGTGGTTCAACGTGGCCAAGGGATGGGGATTCATCACACCGGATGATGGAGGAATTGATGTCTTTGTACACCAGGTAATAGGAATGCCACCACCCCCCACCCCCACCAAACCTTTTCCCCCATGATCTAAAATCCCATGTCTCTGACCATTATCCTTTTTGTCCTTGTGTCTGGAAGGGAGGGACATTAGGGAAACCCCAGATGAAGACAAGTAAATTAAGTCATGCCTTTGTTAAACACCTGTACAGATGGGTGGAGACTGACAAGGGCAAATAGTCCAGGACAACAATGGATTAGTCAACAATACAAGATTGGGTGGTCTTTGTTTGGCCCCGGGATTACAAAACTGCTTTATTATGTTCAAAGATAGTGTAACATTTTGAAAAATAAAAAAAAGGGGGTGGGGGGGTGTATCTTTCAATAATGGTACCAGCTTCTGGCGGGTGGGTACTATTTTTTTTTAGTATAGTATGTGATTGATATCAGCTATTCTTCTGCAATATAAAATTCCATTAGAATATTTATAGAAAATCATTGAAAATCTGTATTTCATATTACACTTATTTTGAACAGGTAGACCATTTGTACAAAATTGTCTGCCAAATTTTAATTTTAAAAAAATAATAATAAAGTAAAAACTTTTTCCTCAGACCACAATCTTTAAGAATGGCTTTCGTAGCCTTGCGGAAGGTGAGCGTGTGGAGTTTGAAAGTAAACCATCCAATCAAGGCATGGAGGCAACATTTGTATGTGGGGTGGGAGGTCAGGAATGTAAAGGCAGTGAGAGGAGACCCATGTCAAGGAAGAAGCCGAGGAAAATACGGTGAGTGTTCGTCCAGATGTCATACACACTGAAGAATTTTTTCATAAGTTTGAGCAATCTTAGCCAAGTTTTTTCTCTTCCATTTCCTAATTGCCCATTTCTGTTTTCTTGAAATCGGTAATGAAGGTTATGGGGTGTTCATCACTTTGGACAAGAACGAAACCACTCCGACTAATCAGCCCCAATATATCAGCCCCCAGGCTAATGGGATCCCAACAATATGGATCGCCCCACCGACTAAAAGACCCCCGTCACAAGGGCACCCGTCAATTAGGATGGCCACGACAAATTATCACTACCACTCTCCACACAATATTCTTCTTAACAATTTTAAAGCCCTAAGAATTTTTTTATCCAATATAAACTCACTAATATTTTTAGGAAATAACCTTTTTACACAGTACACAAATTGTACACCGGCCAAACCCCCTCCTCTCAGTTGTTTGAGACCCTAGATGATGTAGCTGTCTGTGGCCCTATTATGGTTGGGGGGAGGAGAGAGAGACTATTTTGATGTGACATAGTATATTCAAAATGTAGGTTTGGTGTATTATTAACTTAAAGATTATTTTCTTGAATAATTGAAATAATTTTTTTTAATTTGAACTACTTGGTCAAAGCATCATCAAGTTTCCCTATCTCTCAGTACAGCACAGCATAAATGCTGGTAATATTTAGCATTAGAGAAAAAGAAGTTACCCAACCCCTCGTTGGTATAGAAATCAATGAGTGCCATCTGAGGTCACCAATCCAAATATGCCTTCAGACTCAATCAGTGACATCCGAGGTCACCAATCCAAATATGCCTTCAGACTCAATCAGTGACATCTGAGGTCACCAATCCAATTGCCTTCAGACACCATGCAGCATTTCAAACAGTTGGAAAATCTGATAACTTGATAATCCAAAGTGTGCTACCCTTATAATTTTTTATAAATTTGGCTCTTAAATGGTTATTCCTTGCTCTAAAACAAGGGTGAACTTTGTCTATGTGGAATCAGAATCCGTAAGAAATGAAAGGGTCAAGTATTTGAGGATGCAGTTGGCTGGTTGGCTGTTTTTATTGTCATGAGTGTGGCTTAAAAAAAATTATTTTAAAAAAATACGGATATAATACACTTGTTAAGATTATTTGAACAATAAAGATACCATAGTGCACCTCGAGACTGCCTTTTAAAAAATCAATTTAACATAAAACTAAAATTAAAGAAGCTTTTAAAGGTATTGATCAATAAAATTTACTAGTGCAAACATGAATTTATAATTAAACCTTATTAAAGATGTTTGTTGTGTCAAAAAATGAACCCCATTAATATTATCAATGTTAAGTATACTTTATTAATTGATTTCTTTACCTGAACTCGATCTTAGTTCCTTCCACCATTGCCTAGCTAAGGTACAATATGTGCACAAATCCCTTAGTGTCGTATATTTCACACTTCAAAACGAACAAACCCATCGTAGCCTTATACCCGACTGCCTTTGCCTTCTTTATAGATAATCATAAAAAAATCTCGAAATAGTGATTCTGAGAAGTAAATGTCAGTCACAAGAGTGACAAGACACAGTTTGTCATAAGCACTACTGTAACCTTTTTGATAACATATTGCTTTCCTCATACAGCATTTCTTTATTTTCCACTTCTGCTTTCACATTGGCAGCTGTCCTAAACTTATTTTGAGCTTAACCATAAAATTTTTAAACACTTTTTTACCATTACTGAGCAGGAATTTTTTTCTCATGTTTTTCAGATGCTACAACTGCGGGGACTTTGCCAATCATATTGCAGCCAAATGCCCGCATGGTCCACTTCCCAAAAGGTGCCACCAGTGCAAATCTACTGAGCACTTAATAGCAGATTGTCCTCTAAAAGACTCTTCATCACCCCCTGCAGCAGCTCCATCAACATCCCTCATGCAGCGCAGATCAAGAAATGGTAACAACAACAGCAGCACGGAAAATGGCTTCAGCGGGTCTGACCTGGGGGCCAGTGGTATGTCGTCGCATCATGTATGACCTGACGGAAGAGCAATAATTCACGCAGCTTTCTTCACTACACAAGAGCACCTGAACTCCATGCAGCAGCCAGGACACAAAGTTAATTCTCTGTGGCGAATCAAAGTGGAGTATATAAAGACTAACTGGTTCCTTGCTTTCGTAAGGAAGTTTCATCAGTCTGGGATTTACAATCAGTTTTTTCCTCCTCATGAAACGAGCATTTGTACTGCCTGGTCAAGTGGTGTTTTTTTTTTATTTTGTCATTTTTCTTGTATGGTTCCTACAATGTTTGGAATCCACTTTTCATTTCCCCTTACGGCCAAGAGTGAGTGATGCGCAATGCTAAGGTACCAGTATCTTTATTTGTTCCAATTTTTTTTATTTTCCCAGCTTACAATTTTCTAATGAATCTACATTTCTTTTGTTGTATTTTTAGCCAAGATCTCTGCAGCAGCATTTAGTTTTACACTGATCAAGAATGACTTTTATTTAATCATTTTGGTTTTCATTTTCGGGTCATTGAATCTGGGATAGCTCCTGTGTGTGCTCATTTTGAAGTGATGTAAAGGTAATCATTCTTTTTTTTTTTTTAAATTGAGCCTTAGATCTTATCCAGTTTGTTGATTGCTCTTCATATCATTCACAATACCTGCTTGAAAATATCTAAAATACATAAAGTGGAACTTTTTTTTTTTTGTTTTTTTTTTTTTTTTTTTTAATGCATAAATATTAAAAAAAAAAAAGGTAGAGAACCTTACTTTAAATTTGCTTCATTGGTTATATATTTAAGCTTTACAATTATTACATTTTGTATCCACCTGTTTTATTTTATCATTTATTTCTAAAAATCCTTTACATTCAGTCCCAAAAGATACACACAGGAGTCAGAAACAGAAAATTGTTAAAAATTAACCAATCTTTCTTTGTGTGTGTGTGTCATGTCAGTGGAGCAATGTGCATACATCAAAAGCCAAAACATATTGAATCACATGGATGACTGTGCTCTAATGGTGAAGAACTGTATTTGGCTTTTCTTTTAGCAGTTATTTGTTGTCCTCTTTTTATAATTATTTTTTTTCTGGGGCGGGATAATTTTTTTTCCACCTTAAACCTTTTTAAAAAAATCAAACAATTTGTTTCTCCTTTTAATATATTCCACATGCTACCTCATCAATATAGGAACACCTCAATCTGCTTGATATACAGCATTACCTGTTGGTTACTTGGGGGGGGGGGGGGCTGGGGGGGGGTTTAAAAGGGGTCTAAAACTTGTGCATGCATATATGGGTAGTTTTTACCTACACCATTGTTTATGTCATCTTATATGATTATCATAAATATGTACATTTTATTTTTCCGAAATACACTATGTATAGACCAATAGGCTACATTCTGAGCACATTTATTTTTTAAAATTGCCTTCCATTTTAGTGAAAAAGTATTTTTATGTTGTTGTTTTTTTTTTAAACAGAAAAAACTGCAGATATCTAAACCAGCTATGAATTATGCATTTTAAAAGAAATTATGCAATCAAGATTAGGTTAATAAAAAAAAAAAGTAGCTTTAACCAATGCCTTTTGATTACTACAACTAACCAATGTAGCTCACTTAACGATTTGCTTGTAATTTCCAGATAATTGTTTTAGCTTTTAGTAAATATAATGGTACTGAAAAATCTCATGTTCCAAATCCTTTTGAAGAACCCTTGCTACCTCGTTTTTTATTTAAACATTGACATTTTATTTTTTTCAACATTTTAAATTTTTTTAATGTCTAAGCCTCTTTTGGAAAAGGATGGTTATATTCTTGTCTTGTTCAATAGCTTGAATTGCTTATGGTTCTAGTGTTTAACTGTATCTTAGATATTGATTCCTGAACCCAATGCACAGTAAAAATTCTTATGTTGGTTTTTATTTTACTTTCATGAATTAAATAAAATAATTATGCATTTTATTACTATAAAAATGACTCCTTTTTGACAAATGTTGTATTTTTTTATACCGATGGGCCCCAATGCCCCTCCTCTCCTCACCTCACCTCACCATTTTACTTTTACAGCCTTTGCTTGTTTGAGATTTAGGAATGACAAATATTAACTCTATTGCTGAGCTGAATAATTTTAGATAAACTATCGGAAACTGTTTAAGCCACTGCAAAAAGCAAAGCAAAGAAAGTCCTTGGTTTAAAAATATGCCTGTAATCTGGATCTACTGTCTTATCTGATCATCCCCCCCCCCCCCCCCCCC